TATATTTTGAAATTGAATCTATTTGCACCCATTTTTCCAGCATAGGAGCTCAATGTGATCTTCAGTGAAAATTTTAGAGGTCTGACCCCTTAATCTCCCAGGCTCACACAGTTTTTACCAGCCTGTGGCTTTTATTTACCCCAACTCAACCATCCACTCAGAGTTTATTCTGCTCTTGGCCATTGTTTCCTCCTTGGAAGCTGCTGAGCTACAGTTCCACACATAATGATGTAGCTGGCCCCAATGTCCTGCCCACCTGAAGCCTCTCATCTTGTTTTTCTGACAGATTTTATGTAGGTGTGTTCATTGTTTCTCTGCTAAAGTCTGTGGGTATGTACAGAAGTTTGTTCATCTCTTGGAGTTCAGGAGATGCAACAACTGCCATGGTCATGTAGTTACTCTATCTGAAATCCACTCTGGTGCTATTTATTGATTCCAAGCTACTTTGCTTCCTGGCCTCATTTTTTTAGCTCTTCTGCTGTAAGTCATGTGATAGGCTGGCTGTTTTACTGGAGGGTTCCCACAGTGAAGACTAAAAGGTAATGTTACTTTATCATAACCCTGCTATGTCTCTTCTCTTCTACTCTGTTTTTTTTGTTTCTTTTTTTTATTTGGTACCATTTCTGGACACTCAGGACCTGGGAACTGTTCTTGAGTTTTTGTGCTCAATTCTAGAGATCTATCACTTTGAGCCATATCTCCATTTCCACCTTTTTATTAGTTACTTGAAGATAAGAGGCTCACAGTCTTTCCAGTCCAGGCTGGTTTTGAACCACAATGCTCAAATCTCACCTGCCTGAGTCACTAGAATTATAGGCCTGAGTCTCCAACACCAGTTTGCTCTGTGCATTATTTTTTGTGATTTTATGCTCCCTTCCTATCAGTGCCAGCAAAGGGACTTCAATGCTTTTTTACATTCCCATCATAGCGGTGATTATAGGAATGCACCACTGTTGAGCCTAACATCTGCACATGGCTGTACTGGAGCTCTGATTCCTTCAATCTCCACCATTTACAGAGCTGGGATGACAGACTTCTGTCACCACATCCAGGTAACAAATACCATTAGCTTTTTTTCTCAGTTTGGATTCAGAGAGGATATTCTTATTCTCAATACAGATTATATGTGTTCAAGACTGGATTTTTGCTTAGGATTTTTCAATTCCTGCAAAACATACACTGTAATTTTCATTGAAATACCATTGAAAGTATAATTTACTTTTGAGATTATAGTCACTTTCACAATTTTAATTCTGCCCATCTCTGAAAATAGGATGTGTTTCCATTTTCTGGCTGTTATGCAATTTCTTATTTCATAGCTTTGCTTTTCATTGTAGAGGTCTTTACAGATCTTTTCATAGGTTTTGAGTTCTATGCATTTGTTTTTATAAAGCCAGAACTTGAAGGTATATATGGAAGCAAATTTGAGTCCATCTTTAGTTTCTTTTATTTTAAAGAATTAAATTTTTTAGTCCAAATAGACAAAAGAAGTATTATTTTTCCAACTCTAAGTAGATTGATTTTCTTTTGTTGGTCTTGGGGTTTGAACTTTGGCCTGGGTGCTGTCCCTGAGCTCTTCAGCTCAAGGGAAGCACCCTACCACTTGAGCCACAGCACTTCTTCTAGTTTTCTGGTGGTTAATTGGAGCTAAGAGTCAAATAGAGTTTCCTGTTTGGACTGGCTTTGAATTGCGATCCTCAAAACTAAGCCTCCTGAGTAGCTAGGATTGAAGGCGTGAGCCACCAACATCAAGCTAGTGTATATAGTAAAAATGGGTTTCATTATGATCATTTTATATGGGCACATGCATTCTTTTCTCCATATGTGCTTTTATATCCATTACTTTTTATTTCCTCTAAAAATTGAAATTACCTTAATGGCTTCCATTACGTCATTTTCAATGATGAATTGAATCTGTAGTGCTTGATAGAATATATCTAAACCTTTTGAAAGCAACAAAAATCATATAAAATATGACATATCATCCCAATACCATACACACACACACACACACACACACACACACACACACACACGATAGGCAAATCATGATTCAAGGGCCATCTCCAGCCTTCTTCTTATGAGTAAAGTTTTATTTTAACACAAACGAAAAAAATTTATATGGCTACATTTTCCTTGTTCATTTCTCCTTATGACTCTCCTATTTTTCCATGAACTATTCCTTTACAGTCCATTAACTTTTTCCTTGTCTTCCATCCATCCAATCTTAATTCAACACATCAAATCCATCCATGCTTTCCTTTTGTTTCTTCATTTAAGAGAAAAAGTGTTTTATAAGTTTACTGAAATCGTAAGAAAAATTAGCAAAGTCTATAAAGTATTATGCAAAATCACTAAAATCATATGTTCTCACAACAATTTCACATTGTATAATCTCTAATGTCACTGTATTTGATTCCAGTGTCCTGCATCTTATATATACATTTTTCTAATTTGGGGAGGGGAAAGGAAGAAACAAAATGCTGAAATAAGGATATAGGATGACCCATTGTAACAAGGAGATGTACAAAAGGAACTTTACAATGTCAGGTGGGGAAGAGAAGCGTTAGGTGGGAAGGGAAGGATTGTAGGGGAAAAGCAAAGGAGGAGGTAACAGTGTTCAATAGGAAATGTACTCATTAACCTACTCATGTAACTGTAACCCCTTTGTACAGTATTTTACAATAAAAACATATAAAAATGTGAAAAAAGAAAAGTTAGCAAGGACTACAAAATATTGTGCAAATTCACTGAAATCACATGTTCTCCAAACAATTTCAAATCACACAATGAAGATTCAGTATTTTTTTTTTTTGGGTCCGGTCGTGGGGCCTGGACTCTGGGCCTGGGCACTGTCCCTCAGTTCTTCAGCTCAAGGCTAGTGCCCTACCATTTGAGCTACAGTGCCACTTCCGACTTTTTTTTCTGCTTATATGTCGCTGAGGAATTGAACCCAGGGCTTCAAGCATGCAAGGCAAGCGCTGTACCACTGAGCCACCTTCCCAGCCCCAGATTCAGTACTTTTTTTTAATGTGAAAATAGCATACAGATGGCTTACAATTACATGGGCAAGATAATGAGTACATTTCTTATCAAGCATTGTTGCCTCCCCCTTTGTTTACTCAATAATATAAACTCATCCCTATTTATGAAATTCCTAACACAAAAAAGGAAGATCAAAAAAACTGAATAGAAACTGAAGAGTATTATTTATTTATTTATTTGGGGTCTGTTCGTGTGTGGGGCCTGAACTGTTGGCCTGGGCACTATCCCTCAGCTCTTCAGCTCAAGGTTAGCACTCTACCACTTGAGCCACCGTGCCACTTCTGGTCTTTTCTTTTTGCTTATGTGGTGCTGAGGAATCGAACCCAGGGCCTCAGGCATGCAAGGCAAGCACTCTACCACTGAGCCACCTTCTCAGTGCCCATGAGTATTTTTATATATCTAATTAACATACTGAAGAAGTTGGAAATTAATTACATTTTCATTTGTTAAACAATATGCCCTCCATCAAAACGATGCACATAATTTTCCCCAAATATTGTTATATTTTCAAAAAATTAATTTATAGAAAACTAGAGTCAGTTATACAGTCATTTCTTTATGAGAAATGTAACTGTGAGAAGAGGCTGGCCATCAGTTTGGGCAGGAAAGTCTACGTGGGCAGGAATGTCAATGAAAGACCAAAAAACCTAGAAATGGAGCTGTGGCTCAAGTGGTAACACAGACATGATTGAAAAGCACAATAAAGTTCAAACATGAAAAATTTAATTAATTTAATGAATTTAATTAATGTAAGAAGAAACTTGTAATGAACACTAGAAGAGATGAGAAATGAGTACAATTGTGTCTATATGACTTGAATATGTGATTCTGTAGAAATAGTATAGAATCTACTAAGTCAATCTATTTGAAAGAAAAAGTCATGCTTTCCTTATCAAATTGAGAGTTTTGAAATGTTCATATTTCAGCCAGGCACTGCTGGCTTATGCCTGTAACCCTAACTACTCAGGAGGCTGAGATCTGAGGATTTTGGTTCAAAACCAGCCTGGACAATAAAGTCTGTGGGACTCTTATCTCCAACTAACCACCAGAAAACTGGAAATGGTGCTGTGGTTTAATGGTAGATTGATCATCTTGAGCTGAAGGGCTCAGGGAGAGCACACAGTCCCAGAGTTCAAGCCCCACAACAAACAACAAAATTAAAAATTATTCATCTTTCAACAGATTGTAAGAAGTGCTACATTAAAAGAAATAATATATATTCATTATTTAAAATTTTATGTATTAAATGAGTAAAAATTCATTAATGAACAACAAATTAAAAAGTATATCTAGACATGGAGAGCAAGCTATGATGCATTACAGAATTTAATCTTAGAAGAGTCAAAAGATCTTCTACATTATAATCTTAAAGTGAAGAATATTTTTATAGTTTATCCAAGTCATTCCTAATGCCATATGAGGAAAGCAGCCTGAGAGGGAGGACTGCTGAGAGAGAAGGAGATGGAGAATGGCAAAAAGAAAGAAAGACAGACACATCAAGAAAGGTGCCACCAAAGAGACTCAGCATACTTGCAAAAGGTGAATGTGTAAATAGAAATACAGAAGTAGTGACCAAAACAATCTCTGAGGATGATATTTAAAGAGGAAAATTTGTCAAGAATAAAATACTAATGAAACATATTAGAGGACTCTCTATCATGGTGGTATTCAGAGAGGAAGCTAATATATTTAAAAATTTAGAAAAGGGATTTCGAAAATCATCAGTGAAAAAGACACTAAAAAGAGGGTATGATAGAATAATGTTTAGATTGAATAGGAGGAAGCAAAAATATAGCAGAAAAATTCCACTTTAAATGGTGAGTACTTGTGACTACCTCGACTAGAAAATGCACAATAGATCCTTATTATCGAAGCAAAAATTTCAAAATACTAAGCATTACAAGAAGAAAAAAATTACTGTAAAAAACATTAGTAATCAAATTGTGAGTATAGTCTTAAGAATGCTTGTTTCTCCTACTAAGTTTTTTATCACTGAAACAATGCAGAGAATTTTTATTTGGCACTAACAAGATGTTGTAACACTTTGGGGCAAATATGCAGCCTAGGAGTCCTGCACCAGAGGCTAAGATGGAGAAGACCTCCACAGCCACCATGACCTTCCCTGTGGCACTGTGGTAGACAGGCAGGAAGGTGACCCACACACTGCAAAACACCAGCATGCTGAAGGTCAGGAACTTGGCTTCATTGAAGGTGTCAGGCAGGTTCCTGGCCAGAAAAGCCACAGTGAAGCTGGCCAGGGCCAGAGAGCCCAGGAATCCCAGGACACAGTAGAAGGCAGTGAGGGAGCCCTTGTTGCACAGGATGATGATGTGGCCATGTTCAGAGTGTGCATCTGTGTCAACAAAGGGAGGATAAGTCCCCAACCAGAGTCCACAGAGGGTCACCTGGATCAGGGTACAGATGGGAATGATGAGGTTTGGAGCCCCTGATACCAGCAGCCACCTCATCTTTCTCCCTGGGGAAGTTGCCTTGAAGGCCAGGACCACAGTCACTGTTTTAGCCAGTACTGTGGAAACAGCTACAGTGAACACCACTCCAAATGTGACCTGTTGCAGGATGCAGGTGACTGTGTTGGGATGGCCCAGAAAGAGCAAGGAACAGAGGAAACAGAAGCTGAGGGAGATGAGCAAGATGTAGCTGAGAGTCCGGTTATTGGCCTTGACAATGGCAGTATCTTGGTGTTTCACAAATATCCCAAGAACAGCAACAGTTAGCATAGAGAAGCAGATAGCCATGCATGCCAGAGCCATGCCCAAGGGATCTCCAAAAGCCAGGAAACTTGCATCTCTCAGGAGGCACTGATTTCTCTGTGTGTTGACATACTGATGATCTGCACATTTCACACACTGGCCCATATCTGGTGGGAAGTGTAAGCTACCATTAGTTCTTGTTGTGAATGTCTTTTACTTCAAAGAATTTAGGAAATTTTTCACTTAGAAGTTATCCTAACCTGTCAGCATTTACAATAAAAGTATTTTTTCTGTTCTAAACCATGACCTATTCCCATTTTCATCTAGTTCTTTATTCAGGCTTTTACATAAAAATTCACTTTGTTCCTTCAGTGATTATCACATATATTAACATCATAACAGTTGGGGTATTCTAATATCCTGACAATTTTCTGCAGTTTTCCTCACTCTTACGAACTGAGTTGTGCCCTATTTTCCAATTCTACTGAAAATTGTAATTGTACATGTCACAATTTCCTGCATGACTCTGTAAAACAATTTCATTCCTGTGGCACATACTTGAATTCATCTAATTATGTTCATCTTGCCTATTTATCTGTGAAACAGTAGGAACAGAGAAAACAGTCATGGAAACTCTATAGTAATGGTCACTTCTTCAACTTCATCCACCTTTCTGAATGCTTGTCCTGTGCCAGGAAGAGTTGTGGGCACTGAAAAATAGCAATATGCAAGATTCATCTTTTCTGTGTGGACAAAAATGTAACTTAAAACAATCACTGTGGAATCTGTAGGAAGATGGCAGAGGAGAACCTGGAAGCTAATCCAGCTCTTGCATAGAAAGCAGTTTTAGTGTTCTAGTGAACAGTCCTAGGCTAGAAAATCACACCAAGTGTGCCATCACACTACAGAGAGTTTGGCCAGAGAAGAAAAATCCCGGTTGCTTGGTAAAGGAGCACTTGCCAATGTCCCTGGTGGTGGCCATCATATCAGCAGAGAGATCCCGAGACAAAGGCACCAGACATGGTGTATGAGTGGATTCTACTCACCACCAGCAAGAACTGATAAGGAGCCAGAATCTTCATCTTGCAGATCACAGAACATAGATGGCCCCGAAACCAAGAGGCTGATATGAATACCTACAAGACATCTTTACTCCTTCTCAAGGAGCTGCAGTGGAAGGTAGCACGTCCACCACCACTGGAGAAGAACCCCATCTTTCATACTGACAAAGGCCTGGCCCAAGCAACTAGCTCCAACTCAGGTCTTGGAAGAAAACAATAGGAGCCATTCAACAGGTCACAGGAACCTGATCCAACCTGCCAGGCTCTGCTCCACCCAGTGAAAAGTTGCCTTTCCCAGGCAGAGGGAGCTCTGCGACCATAGGAATGACTTTCTTCACTGGGTAAACAGAGCCAGAGGCTGTCCCTTCCCACTACAGCTTAGACAGGACACCCAGCATGAGGAGGGATAAAAGACAAACAATTGAAACTCAGTAAACATAAATCCTGAGAATGGCTCCAGGCTGGGCAATATGCCTGTCTCCAGAGCTAGCCACTCAAGGAAAAGCTACTGATTGCTAACAGGCTTCAACCCTACCCAGAACTTAGCCTCATCACAGCAACTCCAAGCTAGAAGAAACAGCCATCTGACTCTCTTGTGATACTCAGCAGATGACCCTCCCACTGAACTAGCCTGGGAGGAGGATCACAAAGTTCTGGGTTAGGCAGAGCTTTTTTCTGCCTGCTCAAAAAAACTGACTTTAGAAAACAATCAAGAAACAGGAAAACCAAACACCACAAGCAAACCAGAGACTCCACCATGAGACTGGTTACAGACAGATGGGATATACAAATCTTCCCCCTAGCTACTCCAAAAAATCAAAGAACTCGTTTTCTACCTTTTTTTCAATAATAAAGTTTCTCTTTTTTTCTTCATAATTTTTATTTTAGGGTGTGTATATGTGCTTGTGTGTGTTCATGTTTTAAATCTCTTTTAACCTTTTGTTCCTTTTATTTTTGTCTTTATTTTTGCCTGACTTAATTGGTGTTCTGCTCATCCACATATATATACCCGTCGTCAATTATTAGACGTTATCCTTCATTTTCAACGTACTTAATTCAGAAATTGATTACTTAATTCACAACATATTAGTCTTAACTTCTTTAATAGTAGTATTATTTGGTTATACCTATATACTTTTTAAGTATTCCATTGTTAAATTTTTTATTTTTTATTCCTTTCCTTTTTCCTTTTTCTTTTTCCTTCTCTCAATCTATCCTTTTCTACTATCAGTGTTATTTGTTTATACTTACATAGTTTTTAAGAGTTCCATTTCTAAAATTTAAACTTTTGTTTTTTTCAATTTTTTCTTGTTTATTTCTCTCTATTCATTCTGTTCTACCCATTTCCTCTCTGAGATTAAGAATGCGCTAAGTTCAATCTTTCCTTTTACCTCTCCACTACATACTAATATCTCTCCTTAAGGAGGATATTGTGACCCTTAAATATCTATTCACCAAACAACGGAGCAACCAAATGTATCCAAGAAACACTACTTCCCTTCAAATCTCACATAGATCCAAAGACATTAATTTTTGGAGACTTTAACACACCACTATCCCCACTAGATAGATCAACTCGGCAAAAACTCAACAGAGATTCTGCAGATCTAAACAACTGCATAGATCAAATAGCTTTAACAGACATCTACCTAATATTTCACTCAGAAGCATCAGAATACATGTTTTTCTCAGCAGCACATGGAACATTTTCCAAAATAGACCACATTTTAGGTCACAAAGCAAACTTTTGCAAATTCAGAAACATTGAAGTTATGCCCCCATTCTCTCAGACCACAAAGGAATAAAATTAGAAGTCAAAACCAAAAGCAACCAAAGAAAGTCCTGTAACTCATGGAGGCTGAAAGATTGAGAAAGGAAAATTAAATGTTCATGATATCCAACAAAAATGAACACAGAAATTACCAGCTCGTCTGGGACACAGCAAAGGCAGTACTCAGAGGCAAATTTATAACTCTGAGTTACTATAGCAACAAACTGGAGATATCTAAAACCAACAATTTAATGAGACATCTGAATCTCTTTGAAAATGAACAGCAAGCTAAACCCCAATCCAGTAGACAGAAAGAAATGAATTAAATTAAATCAGAATTAAATTAATTAGAATCCAAAAAAAACCATAGAAAGAATCAACAAAAAGAAGAGAACACAACCTAATAAACAAACTCAAAGTTGAGAATGGAAACCTCATAGCAGAACCAACTAAGATTCAGAATATTATAAGCAAATACTTTTCAAACATTTATGCTAATAAGTTTGAGAATGTGGAAGAAATGGACTATTTCCTTGCAAATATCAAGATGCTGAAACTAAACCAAGATGAGTTAAACCAACTTAACAGACCCATATCAAGCCTTCAAACACAAAAAGCAACAAGAGGCCTTCCATCTAAGAAAAGCTCAGGATGGATTTACAGCTGAATTCTACAAGGGCTTAAAAGCAGAACTCACACCAATACTCCTCCAACTCGTCAATGAAACTGAAATTGAAATTTCACTGCCGAACTCTATGAAGCCATCTTAACCCTCATCCCAAAACCAGGCAAGGACTCATAAAAGAAAGAGAACTATAGACCCTTTTCTTTATGAATATTGATGCAAAACTTAACAAAATTTTGGCCAATCAACTTTAACAATTCATCCAAAAAATCGTACACCACGATCAAACAGGATTCATGTCAGCAATGCAAAACTGGTTCAATATACACAAATCAATTAATATGCTTCATCAAATCAACAGAAGCAAGGATAAGAACCACATGGTTATCTCAATAGATGCAGAAAAAGCATTTGACAGGATCCAACACCCCTTTATGATGAAGGCTCTGGAAAAACTAGGAATTCATGGAACATTCCTTAATACAATAAAGGCCGTATATGACAAGTCTACAGCCAGTATTATACTTAATGGTGAAAAACTGAAGCCATTTCTTCTAAACTCAGGAATGAGAAAAGGATGTCTTATTTCTTCACTTCTCTTCAATTTAGTATTAGAATGCCTAGCTATAGCAATAACACAAGATACAAACATAAAAGGGGTCCAAATAGGAAAAGATCAAGTAAAACTCTCCCTCTTTGCAGATGACATGATCTTGTATTTAAAGAATCCCATAGACTCCACTCCCAAATTACTCGACCTGATTTAAAACTTTGGCAAAGAAGCGGGGTATAAAATTAACCCTCAAAAATCAATGGCTTTTCTGTATGACAACAATGAGAAGAGGGCACCTGAAATCAGCAAAGCAACTCCTTTTGTAGTAGCTCACAAAAAATAAAATACCTAAAAATTAACAACTAAAGTGAAGGACCTCTATGATGAAAACTTTAAAAACCTGAAAAAGTAAATCAAAGCAGAACTTAGGAAGAGGAAAAACCTCCAATGCTCCTGGATTGGAAGGATCAAAATCATGAAAATGGCAATAATTCCCAAGGGTATCTACAAATTCAATGTGATACCTATCAATATTCTAAACTCATTCTACAAGGAAATAGAAGAGGCTATCTAAAAATTCATATGGAACAATAAAAGACCCTGAATAGCAAAAACAATCTTTTACAGAAAGAACAATGCTGGAGGAATATCAATGGCAAATTTCAAACTCTACTACAAAGCCATAGTAATCAAAATAGCTTGGTACTGGCACAAGAACAGACCTCAGGACCAATGGAATAGAATTGAAATTTCAGAAATGAACCCACAGACATATAGCTAAATATTTTTCAATAACAGGACTAAAAATAGAATGGAAGAAAGACAGCCTCTTCAGTAAATGGTGGTGGCAGAATTAGTTAATCACCTGTAGAAAACTTAAGCTAGATCTTTATATATCACCCTGAACCAGAATCAAATCCAAATGGATCAATGACCTCGGAGGCAAAGCAGACTCCATGAAAACATTAGGGGAAGGAATAGGGGAAACCCTATGTATCCGTGGCATAGGCTGAAATTTTTCTAATAGAGCCCCAGAAACACAACAAATCAAAAAAAGTTTGGATAAATGGGATTGCATGAAGCTGCAGAACTTCTGTATGGCAAGGCACATAGCTAACAAGACCAATAGAAAGTCCATAGCCTGGGAGAAGATCTTCACTAGCTATACAATGGACAAGGGTCTCATATCTAAAATTTACTTGGAATTCAAAAAAAGAAATCCCCCAACAACAAATCTCAAAGAAACAACTGTCCAATAAGTTGGCTAAAGACTTAAAGAGAAACTTCTCTGAGGAGGAAATAAGAATGGCCAATAGACACATGAATGGCTCAACCTCTATAGCCATAAAAGAAATGCAAATCAAAACAAAATTGAGATTGCACCTCACCCCTGTTACAATAATCAGCAGGGCGATGGTGGCTTACGCCTGTAATCCTAGCTACTCAGGAGGCTGAGATGTGAGGATCATGGTTCAAATCCAGCCCGGGGAAGGAAAGTCCGTGAGACTCTTATCTCCAATAAACCACTAGACAACCAAAAGTCGTGTCGTGGCTCAAGCAGTAGAGTGCTCCCCTTGAACCGAAGAGTGCAAGGACAGTGCCCAAGCCTATGGTTCAAGCCCCAAGACCGACCAAAAAAAAAACAAAAAAGAATGGCTATAATCAAGAACTCTAACAACCGTAGATGCTGGAGGGGATGTGGCCAGACTGGAACCCTACTTCTCTGTTGGTTGGGGTGCAAACTCGTTCAATCACTCTGGAAAACAGTATGGAGGTTCCTCAAAAGACTCCACATAGACCTCCCCTGTATCCCAGCAATCCCTCTTTTTGACATGTACCCAAATGATCACAAACAAGACCATACAAAAGCTAACAGCACAACTATGTTTATTGCAGAATTATTTACTATAGCTAAGGTATGGAACCAACTCAGATGCTCCTCAATAGATGAATGGATCAAGAAAATGTGATACACACACACACACACACACACACACACACACACAATGGAATTCTATGCCTCCATCAGAAAGAATGCCATTGCCCCATCTGTTAGGAAATGGAAAGGTGGAAAGGCTTGGAAAAAATTATATTAAGTTTAGTAAGCCAGGCCCAAAGAAACATGGGTCCCATTATTTACCTTATTTGAAGTAACTTATATGTCTGGGACAAGCAGAAAGATGATTATGTACATATGACCAGATAAGATGATGTTAAGTGAAATGAACCCCAAGATAGGGACACAAGTGGTTTGTTTTTTCTTGCTATTGTTTCTAACCTAGTTATAATGTACCAAGTGATTTTTTCTTTGTATGTTCCTCCCCCAAGGTATAACCCCGCTTTTCACAGTATTTGATGTTGGTGCCCTACATATTGTGTATAACTTTCTCTAATTGGGGGAGAGTAAGGGAAAAACATAATTCTTAAATAGGGATACAGGTTGACCCATTGTAACAATGAGATGTACAAGACATTATGTTGAAAAATGAACTTTACAATTTAGGTGGGGTTGTGGAGGGCAGTGTAGTTGTGGAGGTGGGTGGGTAGGATAGTAGGGTAAAAACAAAAGTGGAGGCAACAATGCTTGATAGGAAATGTACTCATTACCTTGCTCATATAACTGTATCCCCTGTGTACAGTATTTTTACAATAAAAACAGTATCAGCATAAAAAAGATCACTGTCCTTAATCAAACTTACATTTAATGTATTTTAGTTCACCCTTGTCCAATGATTCATGATAAGAGGCATTCTTGCAAATAACTTTGCCTGCAGTATATCAAAAATATTACTAATATGTAATTCAAAACAATGATGTATTATATTTCACTAGCAATACCACCATACCAGAGAAAAGGCAAATGGGCTGGGCAACCCTAATACACAACTTTTGCATTGAGTTTGTTTGACTGAGGAAAACTAGAGAGAAATGAAGAATTCCTTACTAAGACATTTACTTACCTGTCCCATTAGTGATCTCATTCTGTTGGCAAGGGTTACAAGAAAAGCAACAGGCAGCCTTTCCCTCCTGAGGAGATTTCCTGAATCCTGGACCACAACTCTCACTGCAGACAGAGTGAGGAGTCTGACGAAAGTCAGAGGTGTGTCAATAACTGTTTAGACTCATATCCCACACTCCAAAAATACCATATTAAAAAAAAAATCAGATTATTAAGGATTATGTTTCTATGTGGGTAAATGTAGTCAATTATTTGAATTCTGTTATAGATTCTAAATGCCATTATTCTCAAAGGCTTATGAGATGCAACCTTGATTAGTAGCCTGTTGAACTAGTGAAAAGTATGGGAAACTCATTGTGACAAAGTAAGTCCCTGGGGAGAGCCTAATGAACTGGCTTGAGTTCATGTCATTATGTGTTGTCCCCTCCTCATGTGTAAAATGGAGAAGAGCCTGGAGGAAAACCTCCTTTTTTATAGTGTTTTGTGAACCCCAGAATCACATAGCTTTCTCTTTGTTTTCCAGTGAGACTCTTTTCCCAGGAACCTTCAATGATTCCTCTTCCCAAAGATGCCTATGTAGCAGGTCAACTTTCTATGGAATGAAAACGCCACAGAATAAACCATTCATCTAAATACAGTGATTCATCAGGTACTTTATCACAGTGTGAGAAACTTACTAAAAATATATTATTTATTTTTATGAAGGTATTCAAAATCAACATTTAGGAAAACATTAAAAAATTTTTTGATGGTAGTCAGACCTGGGGCTTGAACTCAAGACTCTAAGCAGTGGCCTTGAGCATTTTTGCTCAAGTTTCGCACTCTACTACTTGAATTACATCTCCACTTCCTGATTTTTGGTGGTTAATTGGAAATAAGAACTTCATAGATGTTCATGTGTGGACTAATTTTAAATTGTGATATTCAGATCTCAGCTATCTGAATAGCTAACTTACAGGTGAAAGTTGCTGATTGTCAGACAGGTGTAAAGTTGAACGATGACTTTTACTTACATAGATGTCCTTAAAATCATTATGATTTTAGTGATTATGGGGGAGGGCAGGAATAGTGGAAGAACAACTATGGAAAGGGAAACAATGCTCGATAAGAATTGTACTCATTGCCTTAGTCATGTGACTGTAACCCCTCTATATAGCATCTTTACAATAAAATGAAATTTAAAAAAACATTATGGTTAGAGCCAACCCACCTCTGTAGTTCCTATGGCCCACTCTACCATCTCTTCAGATAAAGACAGTTGATTACCATGGAGAGCATATGGAGAAAATTTTCCAACTTTCACCTCCAGTTGAAGACCTTCTGGAAAATTCCAAATGTTCAGAATGTCATACTCTGGCTCCAATTTCCTTTTCTCATCCAAAATCACTTGTTCTCCAGCAGGGTTGTAAAATTGGATGTTTTTCAGAGAAGGGTGCAGCTAAAAGAGATACATCCAAGTTAAGACAGAAAACCTGAAGTAAGAAAAGCTCCTGATTGCCTTCAAACTCTGTCTCTCAATCCAAGCATAGCATAGCCACCTAATGAAGTATAGCAGAAGAAATTCTATGGAGGAATGAAATAATCTCTCTGAATCCTGATCTGTCAGATAAGGATCAGAAGGCTTTTTGTTTAAATAAGAGAAACCAATTCCAAACAAACAGCCAGGAATGAGATAATACTCAGTTGCTTAGCTACAGTTTTTCCCAACTATCATTTTTTTATGAATGCCTATACTTGGAGTTTGCTAAACTTTTAATATGGAAGTTGAAGGAAACGAGATCACATATGAAAAATATGGATAATTCTGTTGAACAGATGATCCTTTGCTATTATTCAAGAGACTCATAGAAAGAGGCTGAATTTACAGTTTTCAAAACATTAACTATGAACCTGTTGAGGTTATTTGTAATGAAACCAACTCATAAGCCAAGATCTGGTGGCTCATGCCTATAATTTTAGGTACTCAGGAGGATGAGATCTGAAGATCATGTTTGGAAACCATTCCAGGCAGAAAATCCCATAAGACTCTTAAAAAACTACTCAGTAAAAGCTGGAAGTGGTGACATGGCTCAAGTGGTAGAGCACTAGGTATGAGTACAAAGTGATCTTGGAACAGCATCCAGTCCCTGATGTCAAGCCCTAGGATCCGCAAAAACCAAATGAATACAAAAAACCAACAAAGGCACAAAATGCATTATAAAAATATGAGTTATATTTAATTTGTGTTAGTGGCCTGTTTATTTGTAAGAAAATTTGCACATATATCTAGAGTATCTCTAAGACATTTAAACAGAAATAATTTCCTGGCATAGCACTGGTGGCTCATGCTTATAATCCTACCTACTTAGGAGGCTGCGATCTGAGGATCATGGTTCAAAGCCAGCCCAGTTGGGAAGTCTGTGTGACTCTTATCTCCAATAAACCACCAGAAAACTGAGAGTCGTGCTTTGGCTCAAGTGGTAGAGAGCTAGCCTTGAGCTGAAGAGCTGAGGGACAGCGCCCAAGCCCAGAGTTCAAGCCCCATGATAGATAAAAAAGTAATTTCCTGGGTTTTGGAAAATCAATCCAAATATTTAATTTCATCCAGTACATTTTCCAGGAAGTGCTTTTGCTCATGATGTGTGCCATCCAGTAAAGAGAAATTACCTTTGAAGGGGAATGCACTGTCCCTTTTCTATTTCCCATTGTTTGAACTTCTGTTTGATGAAGAAGCATCTCATGGAGAGCCTGGGCCACAGCATACACAGCATTGTATATATTGTAACTGTCTCTAGACATGGTAATGTCAAAAATGTGCCTAGGCAACCAATCCAAGGAGGCATCACGAGGACAACTGTCCCATGATACACAGTCAGAGTCAGCATCTGAGCAATTATAAGAGAGAAACCACAGCTTTGCAAGAAAAAAGTCTTCTGGGTATTTGGAAGGGTGAACAGCTTTGACAAAATCTGTGAATCCAGAAACATCTGCATGATGGTGTGAGAAAATAAGAGGTACAGGGAATGAGCCTAGCATAAAATATCTCCTCGTTATTAAATCCCACTGTGAGTTCATGATACAAACTTTGCCTTTTATTAAAAATTGCTCAACAAACAGCATTAAATCTAATAGTGATTCATTATCACCATAAATGATGAGGACATTTGCTGAAGATTTATTTATCTCATTATAAACGGCCATAATTCTGACTATATGTTCAGTGCCTTTGCTTGATATTGGTAGCTCATAGGCTACACAAACTCTATTCTTGGCCATTTCTTCTTTAAGCTCAGGAAGCATCCACAAGCCATTCTCATCTTGTGAAGTGAACAGTCCAACCCAGCTCCAGGTAAAGTGAAGCAATAATGACACCATGGCAGTGGCTATTGATGTGTCCTTTGGGGCCACCTGATAGAGAGCAGGAAACTTGTGATGGTCACTCAGGGAATGATCAAAAGGCCCAAATGTAAGCTAAACGGAAAGAAAATTGGATGCTCCATGAACGAGAAGATTGCCATCCATCATAATCTCAGTCTTGAAATATGTTAAGGAACAGTTGAAGTAGGAGAAACCTAGGGTTTTGGTTTAATTTTTGAAAGAAATATTTGAATTATTTAAGAGTAGTACAATCTATCCAATTACTTATAAAATGTCTCTTAATCTCTGTCACTATTTCTATCAACTTCTCCCATCTATATCAACCCTACCCATGCCTTCAGTTTTCTTTTTTATTTTCAAATATGTACATTGAATACTGTGTTGTTTTCCCATCCAATCCATTCCCTATTCTCTACCTTTTCCCCTTAACATTTACCCTCCTCCCAGAAGATATGCTTCATCTTTCTGGAATTCCAGAAATTTTTCTATGGTGTTCCAACTTTATGTATACCATACTTTAGTTGGATTGATGATGTATATATGTAAATGGCTATGTATGTGTCCTATATATTTTAATATGGCATGCTCACATTTTAGATCTAACTTTTTACATATGAGAGAAAACATTTCCACTTCTCATTCTAAGCCAGAATTGTTACACTCAACGTAATATCTTGTGTGTGTGTGTGTGTGTGTATGTGTGTTCATGTTCTTGTGTTTGTGTGAATGTGCATGCTAGTACAGGGGCACAAACTCAAGGCATCAGATACTTGCTTGTCTTTTTATTTCAAGGCTTGTACTCTACTGTTTGAGCCACACATTCACATCTTGCTTTTTGCTGGTTAATTGGAAATGTTTCCTGAGTAGCTAAGATTTCAGGTACAAGTCACCAGTACTCTGTTCATCATATCTTCACACCACAAGGAAATTATTGGTAAGACTTGAAATAATAAATAATACATTGGTTAGTCTAGTTCTTCTATTTTCCCAAACAGTAGGAATATACATATCCCACTAGCTTGGAGTACTTAATTTTGATACCATAAAACTTGATAGGCACATAAATTCAGGTTCTTCCTATCATTATCTTCTAACACAGAAAATGTCACCAATTAGACATTTTTGTATCCCTCCAACCCTCACCTGTGGAAATCTGTAGAGTTGCAGCAATGTCCCAATGAGAGCAGATGTTATTCCAAATGGTCCTGTTAGTACTGCTCTAGACCTGTTTTCTCTCAGACAAGAGTAGTTTGGAATCTTGTACTTCCCAAAGAACCAAATGAAGGGATTCTTAAATATTCTCCAAGTTCCAAATTGGACATCATAGACATCAAATCCCAGAGTCAAGTTAGGTAAGAGTTCAGGGTTTTTGTTGATCTCCTCAATAGCAAAAGCCAAGGCCAAAACAAACTGATAGTTCTTGAAGACAAACCTGCATAATGAGCATAGAAATTGTGGAGCATTTCAAGACTTATGATTTTGCTGTATTGAATGCTTGCTTCTTTGCTAATGAATATGTTAAAACATTATCTTCATTTAGGTTGGAATAAGAATGTAGTGTTTTATGGTTGTACACAGAATCAGGTAATGACATGAAGAGAGTATGTCATGAATGTGAGAAGAGCATGTTTTTTCCTCACTATCATATGCACCACAACAAAAAGCTGTTGTCTGTTAAACATGGATTAGGCTTTCGTGATCATCAAATATTCCATTTCCTTTATCATAGGATAACTAGTTCTATATGTGTGAAAAATAAATCTTGTTTTTAAGCACCCAATTTATGTTTTGTAGCTGGCAAGGCTAACTAACCAATGTTCACTTTAAGAGCAATTTTCCGAAGCAAAGTCTTATTTGCGAAAGTTTCTATACCAAGCTGTGTTCACAAACCCAACATATTGAACAGCTCTCCCAATATCATTCAGAAGAAGAGCTCAAGTATCAGGTGAGAGAATTTTATTCTTCTTTATGTAACTAAAAAATGTATGCATCCAACTCGAATGAACTCATTATGGAGAGAGGAACCTCAAACACAGTGGATGAGGAGAGAATTGTAAGCAAGCTTTACATTGAAATCCTTGTACCAAGGCCAATATTGTAAAGTAAAGTGATCACTACCCTCTTCCCAATATATTTAGATTGAAATACTGAAAAGAAAAGAATAGAGAGGAATAAAGGGGATCAAAGTACTCTTTTTCCTTTCTCTGTGTCCTGTCTGTGTGTACAAGTGTGTGTTTGTGTGTGTATGTGCATGTGCATTATAAAGAAATTAATGAAATCAACACCCATTTTTAAAAGGAAACAATATGTTTGACACATACAGTCATATGTGAAATCATTCCCATGGATGCCTATCATGTGGATGATATATTCTAAACAGAAGAAAATAGTGAGATTGAAGAAAAGCTGATTGATCATACACATATGGATGAGCAAACTGGAAGCAAGAGTGAAGAGTGAATAAAAGTTTCATCACTGGGCACTGGTGGCTCATGCCTGTATTCCTAAATACTCAGGAGGCTAAGATCTGAGGATTGCAGGTCAGAACCAACTCGGGCAAGAAAGTCCATGAAACTCTTGTCTGCAATAAACCACCAGACCCGAGTGGCATTACAAAATGGAGTTTCTACACAAAAACTAGTTTCTATTTTCAACTTGTTTTTTTTTAAACTAAAAATTGGTCCGTTCTTAATAGAGCCTGGAACTTTGAAAGTAATAGAGAAAATAAGAGGAAATGTACATACACAGGTAACTTAAACAGAACTCAAATAGCTCATAAAATGACAGCAATAATTAAGCTGTGGGTTGGACTAAGTGATAGAATACTTTATCTCATTCCCAAGACACTAAATTGCACTTATACTGTGTTGTCATAATAGTAGAAAAAATCAATAAAACAGACACATGGATCAAAGAAATATAAGACCAAGAAGTAATTGCAAACAACTACAGATATCTGATTCTTGGATAGGGAAAGAAGCTGTGGCTGTACCCAACTGAAATCTTTGGTACAATGAAAGAAATGCTAGGGCAGCCACATGCATTGTTAAATATCTTGCTAGCTATTCATTTCATAGAGGAATAATAGCATAGTGGAAAACAGCTCCAAAACTTATATACCAGTAGGATAATTCAATAAAGGAACAGACAATTTAAAAATGAAAAAGTATAAATGGAAAACCAATGAAGAAAAAAAGGTTCAACCATTTGAGCAATTAGGAAAATACAAATCAGTGATTATGTGTTGCCTATCAACAAAGACACAGATTGCAGTTTTGGTGATGGTACATAAAATTTAAAGACTGGAGATTTCTCAAGAAATTAAAATTACCTCCACTGGTGGCTCATGCTTGAAATCCTAGCCGAACAAGAGGCTAAGAGGCAAGGGTCTTGAGCCAAGGCCAGCAGTGGCAGAACAGTCCATGATACTCTTCATCTCCAGTTAACCAACAAGAAGCTAGAAGTGGAGGTGTAGCTCAAGTGATAGAGCATCAGCCTTGAGAGAAAAAGCCAATCAAGAGTGCAAAGCAAGCCAGTCACCATGGCTCCTGCCTCTAATCCTAGCTACTTTCAGGACTCTGAAAATGAGCAGAAGTGATAGATATGGCAGAGTGAAAAAGGACGTGGGAAAAGATATAAAAATGAACATAAAAATAGCGAATGCCTCAACTCTAAAGTATGAGGCATGCATGGTGCAACTACAATATGGACCAGATAATTGGCACAAGCACCACCTTGTGTAAAGATTGAGAAACATTGCTGTAACATCAGTGGGTATAGAGTTCAGTGAAATCTCTCACCTACTGATGTCTAGTTGCCATGCTACATTTATCTACAAGAAAATCTTATTGAATAAATACTGCTATCTATAGCCAATACCGCACATAAAATTTTAGTATCCCAGACCAGACTTCATTTCATATCTATGTGTAGATAAGAATCATCCATTGGCTGAAACCATAATACTTAATGCGGTTATATTAGCACATGATAAAAAGTACTCAAACATTTTAGGAAATTAAGAGAATGAAAATCAAGTAAACTTGGTAAAATAGTGGATAATAAGAATAAACTAAGCCAGGCACTAGTGATTCACACCTGTATTCTTATACACTTAAGAAGCTGGGATCTGAGAATAGTGTTTTGAAGCCAGCTTGGGCAGGGATGTCTGTGAGACTCTTATCTCTATTTAACCACCAGAAAGTGCCAGAAGTGGAGATGTGGCTGAAATGCTAGAGCACTAGCCTTCAGCAAAACAGTTCAGGGCCAGTTCCCAGTACCAAAATAAAAGAAAGAAAGTTACCCACATCAGTGACATATAAGACAAGGGTATACATCTTCTATAGCAGGGAAAAGAGTAATTCCTGTCCTGTGATCTCTGCTCTCATCTTCGGGCAGCTACATTAGGTTATACTTGTCATAAAGGTACTTGAAAAGAAGTATAAATGATGAAAACAATGACAGTAGAAACAATGCAGTAGGAATCAGATCATTTGCCAGAATTCTTTGAAGTTCTTCATGGTCATTTTCCTTTTTTCTCTATTGGATTTTACTTAATGAGACCCTGGAACCAACTAAAAGCCAAGAATATGCATTTACACAAGTAAAGCAGAACTCATCAGGGCATATAAAATTTTCCCATAAGGGAAAATTTACCATGGAGCTGCCTGGTAATGCTTGGATTGTGGAGCATTTCTGACATGAAATAATGACACAAGGCTTAGTTTGCAACAGTATCTACTTGTCTTTAGTAATAATATAAGTGTGTGGGTCTTTGTGTGTGGCAATCCTAGGGGTTGAAATCAGTGCATCAGAAACTGTCCTTGAGTTTTTTTACTCAAAGCTAGCACTCTGTCACTTGAGAAATATCTCCACTGACAGCTTTTGGCTTGTTAATTGGAGATAAAAGTCTTAAAGATTTTTGTGCCTTGATAGGCACATCCTCAGACATTATAAGTAGTTAGGATTACAAGTGTGAGTCACCCAGACTTCAATAAGAATTTTTATCCATGTCTTCAAAATATAGGTGTTAATAACTCAGCTTACTGACCCAGGGGTCAGAATATGTAGCTGCATCCTTTGAGTCCTAGACTCATTCCACGGACTCAGCTTGATTGTAATAACATTCCTTCATTTTCTGTGATAAGAGTTTCTGGACTAAAGTGAAGACCCTACCAACCTGGAAAGTAGAAGATACATGGAACAAGATACAGTCCTTTACTACTAGCTTTAGATATAAGACTAAATTATGAAATTGAGCTGTTCCTGGTACAATATGGACAGGAGGTCAGTGGAGAGGAGACAAAACATTGAGCTCCCTAAGCCACTGCCCATCCTCAGAACAAAACAGTAATGATGAGTTACTTACGGTGTGTGGTCTTCATTCCAGGAAGAATCGCTATTACTGCGATCAATTCCCAAAGTGTAGAGAGGGAACAATCCAGTGATCATCATGTCTCCATCCATGTGTGCTCGGTGCTTCATAGTAGAGAAGCAGCTAGTGCCAGCCAAGGACCTGACAGGGAGGGGAAGCTGGAGAAGTAGGAGTATGAAAGACAAAAGGTACATCCCTGAAGCCTCTGCCACTCTGAAACTCTGTCTAGAAATGAGGACCCCAAGACAGATACCTTTTTATGTGCATATGTGTCCTTTTATTGATAGGAATCTATACTATAGCTCACCTTTCATCAAAGCCTCCTGTGAGTCCCCAGAAGTCATGTGTAAAAGTATTCCCTGGGGCTCTACATCTGTGGCCTTTATTCAGGAGAAAACCATGAGTTGGGAAACATGTTTGTGGAATTACCCCAGGTGCTATGATTTCATCCAAGACCACAGATTGTGAGGCCCAAGAGATGGAGTTACCTTGGATGGTTTTTTGGTCAACATCTGTGTCAAGTAGCTGTTTTCATGAAAGCCATTTGGGATGATGCAACTGGATTTCCTCAGAGGATGCCATTTGATGTGCATGATGAAATGTCCACAAAAAGTCTATACCTCAAGTAAAGTTACAAGGGTATCATACCAAGAAGGTTGATTCCCACCTACAATGTCCATAATAGCCACAGAACATTGGTGGTTGATACAGGGATGTTCTCACAAGAATTCCATATACAGTGGCCTCTAGAAATGTACCCATTTATTGTTGCCTGAGGAAGCAATGATGCTGCTGAAACTAGCAATTACATGTGAATAAATAACTCAAAGTCAGTGTTGAGATTGAGTTCCACTTTTGCATTCTGAACTTTCCCTTTCAAACAGATAATGGCTACTAAATATGCTAACACACATCAAGACATTTTCAAGCTGCAGTAGTGTGAGAACACAGAATCATAGAGGAAATTTTTTTCTATCACAACCTAAGTCAATATCAAAACCAACTCTATGTTTTCAAGTTGTCAACATATTTTAGATACAAATTCCATGTAGACTTCAGTGGCCCTTGAGAACAGAGATACTTCAGCATAATGAACAGTCTGTACAAGTCTGTAGTGTTGGATGCACGTTGTGGGACACTTACCCATTATCATGCACTGGGTGTCAGAAAAAATATCATGCATGTACTTTAAAACTGCAGGAGGAAAAAAACTTTTCTAATGATATTACCAAGGGTCATTTACATTTGTTTATTTATTACATTGATAGGATTTTATCACTTAATTTTAAAATTCTTAGTTGCATATGGTAGCTGGGCAGAGGATACATTTAGACAGAGGGGGTAGAACCTGAGAGGGTCTAGATCCAGAGAGGGGCACATCCTGAGACCTTCCTTTTGGTCCAGCCTGAAACTGTCCTCAAGTTTTATGACCTGTCCAGTATTTTTTCAGTGAGAATTTTTGTTTATAATTCCCAGATGCCTGGCTAGCTGCAGGTTGGGCTGCAATATTCCTGGATGCTGAGCTTGTTTTTGTTTTCTAGGGAGATGTGTGGCCTTCTCTCCCTGACCCTGCCTCCCACTGATTGGAGCTGCCCCCCTTCCCCTGGAGTCAGATTTTTTTCTGCTAGAGAGATGAAAGGACACCAGAGTCATTTGCCATTTTGAAAAATGTCACTGTTTCTCCAGCAAGTGTTACTGTTCAGTTGCTCTGGTAGAGTCCATGCCACTATTAAAGATGACATTCTTCTCTGGTAGGGGGAAGAATTTCCTTCCAGGTGTTGTTCGTTGGAAGGAAGGGATTATGTTCTTGGTGGGGTTCTCACATTTTCTAGTGGTGTTTCAGACCATCCACAATGTGGTGAGTTCTTTCTGCATGTGTCTGTGGCCAGCTGGGTTGTGGATTTCCTTTCTTGGTCTTTGAGTTCATGGTGAAGGTAAAGTGGAAAGTCCAAGTGCATGCTGTGTCTGCTCCCACCACAGTATGTCATGGCTCCCCCAGCCACCATCTTTGCCACTGCTGACACCAGCAGGTGCTTAAATCTGTCTTGGTATGCAGGCTGCTTATAATTTTCTTCTTTTGTATTAATCCCTGTGTAACTGCAGCTTACATCATGTAACCATTCAGATTCTAAAACTCTGCTCTTCAGAGAGAGTTCTGTTGGTCCCCTGTTAATTTTCCACCAACTTCTGGAACTCCTTCCATTCCTAGAATTTTAAAGGCAATGTGGAGATAGGGAGAGATTGAACCAAATAGACTCAAGAATATTGGAGAATGCAAATATATGAATAGACTATTGAACCAAACATACTCCATGAGCACTTTAAAATTTAGAACATTGATAAGTGGGAAATATCTTAGAGAACTAAGCAATATAATGATAGAAGGGCAGAACTTTAGTTTACATATTTAGGAAAGCAGTTAGAGAAGACACAAGAAAAGGGGTAATATATTAATCAAAAAGGGTAGTATTAAATGCAGACTAAGGCTAAAATTGCAGTACAAATTAAGATTTTTCTCATAGGTAGAGCAACCTGTGTCCATATCAGCAAGGATCAGCAATGTGAAATCACAGAAACCAGATGCAGAAAACTTTCACAATGTCAGGACCCTAATCAGCACACACAGCAACACAGGTTAAGGTGCCACCACAGTGTTCAGATGCAGAAAACATTCATGGTGCTAGGAATTTGACCAGCACACCCAAGGACACAGATCAAGTAGATGAGAGTCCAGCATCCAGGGGCAGGATACTTTCATAACGCAGCCGGTCAGCCCAGTATGATCATGCGGCACTGTGAATACCCTTCTGAGGACCAGTCACATGGGAGGCCTGCACTGCTAATGACCCAGAGTGCTAGGCCTAGACCTCTCCCTC